GTTCCACAAGGACTGAGACTAGATTAGTTATGCCACTGAAAGAACACAGTAGTCATATAAAAAGTAAGATGATTTATCTACTCCAAAATGTGAATGAGCTGATGAAAAAACAGAGAGAATAAATTTACTTTCTGATGCAACAGCTATATTTTGATTACATCCAAATCAATAAAATCAAAGACTTCATATGCCAATTAGCTTCAGCTATTGCACGACACAACCATGACCACTACACATTTCCAGACTGTCCACAGAATAAAGCGCACCGGGAAGCAGTTCAACTGCACCACTGAACCATGACTGTTACAGCAACTAATTAGAAGTAATCGTGATGAAGCTGGAGGTAGTGGTGCTGTAGCCTGCAATTCAGGAGAACATGAATACTATTTCGAAAGTTGGAGGAATAAATGGAAGAAACATGAGCCTTATAGCTCTTATGACTCTGAAAGAGAGCAGCATCCGACAATATCCTGCATCTATATTGCCAGCATAACGTGGTGCTTCTCCTCTGGATATCCTATTCATCTAGGGTAGCAATTTACTTTCTGGTTCAGGCTACTCATTTGGATATTCTATTCATATAGAGTAGCAATTGGCTTTCTGTTCAGGTTAAAGAGACAGCAGGACAAGACATGAAAGATCCCATCTGAGGTCGAAGGTATTAAAAAAAAGGAAAACAGTTGAAGACACAACAATCAAAGAGTAAGAAACTAGGCTGCTTAGCAAGCGATATCAAGTTATCAAATCTTACTTGACATCTGGTTTGACTGGTGTAATACCACGAGCACGTAAGTCAGCATCTTTGTTATCAAAGAAACCTGCAGGGAGAGCTCCTTTGACCTGCTTAGCATCTGAACCAGAACTCAGTTTTGACATTGGCCCATTTTCACCAGATCGCTGATTTTCTGTGCTTCTAGTGTCAGCATTCTTGGAAGAAGATAAGCCCTGCATGCTAGACCTTGACAACGACGTTTCCTCCACTTCAGTTTGATCTGAAACTGGAGCATGTCTGTTTGATACGTGGTCTCCCAACCTAGCCGAATCTTTCTCTGAAACACAAATATATAGATAAGGCATCCATGAAAATGAGAGCAAGATAAACTTTTATATTGCAATACCATGTCTTCATTACTGTAGAATAATATTTTTAGGGTAGGGGATACCAAGTCCTCATTACAAAGTATATATCAAATCAGAAATATCATTGTATATCTAAGTCTTCCATACAAAGTACAGAGAGGCAGAATCAGGCACGCCAAAAGCAGCAAAATTACTGATTTCTCTACCTATCGTTCCACCTTTTCTCTCCTTCTCTCATTGCAAATACGTTCTTCCTTTAAAGCAGATATTAAACAAAATATACACAAAATGGACCCAACAAAGACTCACCATACAGCCAATGTGCATGGATTTTATGATTAACACTTGCAAAATCTTAGAATGTCTTGTTTTTTTTCAATATCATGGAATGCATTGAAGACAGTGTCATGCTTCAATCACTGTTTAAATTTTCTATACGGAAACCTTCTAAGAAAAGGTAAATTCCCACAGAAGCACCTTACCAATTTTTGGCCTCTTTGTCTCTTGATTATCAAAAAAATTGGGAGGAAGCATAGATGATGCACGAGGCTTGGACAATCCAACAGAAGCTTCAGGTTCTTTACGGCTTACGCCCTCAGGAAGTTCAGACTTGGGTTTAGGCAACTCCTTTGGAGGCTCGCTTCTTACAGTGTTTGGGCTTTTCACTGCAGCAGCATTAGCTTTGAGATTATTTATGGCCTGTACAAAACATCAGAATCTGTCTAAGCAGGGAAGAGTACAGCACAGACCTCACATGTGATATCTAAAGGAGAAAACAAGAGATGAATAGCAAGAACTAAGGAAGTCCTTAGAAAGCACACCAAAGGTTACATAACACGTGCATGAAGCTTAGATGACCAGCAGAAAACTCGTACAAATTAGTTGAACCCAGCCCTTATGAGTTCTTCCCTTTTAGCTAAAAATTCAAATATTTCTACTTCGTACCTATGTGAGGCTAGTCTGATAGGATTTTTGTCTTAGACTGCTAGTGGTTAATGTTGTGTCTTACTACTCTTCCGTTTTTCATAGTGCTTGGTCTTTTTACTGGCTATCGCTTTTGCGTTTCATCTATTTTCTGGTTTTTACGATGTTGTTATTATTCATTTGGTCTCTGTTGGCGATACTAATATTGTCTCTTTTCGTCTTCTTGAGTCGAGGGTCTTTTAGAAACAACCTCTCTACACCCTCGGGGTGGGAGTAAGGTCTACATACACACTACCCTCCCCGGACCCCACTTGTGAGATTTTATTAGGTCGTTGTTGTTGTCAACTATAGTAAGCCCCCTGACCCAAAAAAAAAACCCAAAAAGGCATTATAATTCCTCCCCAATCAACCTTCCTACATTAGATTCACAACACATTGTTCCAATCAATTCCTATTCCTTTTGCTTCCTGTACCGGCATGCCACTTGAAATGCCTTTTTCATTTTCAATGAACCCAGAGCAACTTCTACAATCACAAAGCAAAAGTAAATTTAGACCATCCCAAAACTATGAGTTCTTGATGAAAACGTAAACTAGCCATATGGCCAATTGAGAATTATGAAGGACAATGATCCCTTTATTAGAAAAAGAAGCAAACTGATGACTTCAAAGCTGACAAGTCTGGCATGGCCTTGTGGAACCTACTTTACCTGATGCTTATACTCGAACAAAAAACATACCTCAAGCTAAAAACAAAAGGCGAAAGGATATGCTCATGTTAATATACAAATGGCTTAATGTGTTCATCTTAGCATGATCGAAAGCACCTTTTTCTTAAAGAAGTGCGAATGACCACATCGTGACTATTTTACTGAGCTTGGACTAGCATGCACCAAATTCCAGTATGCAAAAAGTTAAGACCAAATTCCAGTATGCAAAAAGTTAAGATCCTACCTCATGATGTTTACGAGAAGCTTGATGTCCAGGCCACTGTGATTCAGATTTCAGAACAATGTCACACACTCTACATACAGGCTGATCGTGCTCATTGTACCTGTGCTATACATTAGACATGATTTGAGAGTGAGAATCAGAAAAAGCTAGTGCCTACAACTCTACAGTAGACAATGCACCTTTAACTAGGACTGTAAATACAAAACTGTGTTAAGTATAGATCGCAATCATGTCCAATCATGTAAAAGATCAAATACAACAAATAGTATATTTATATCACATCCGAATGCAGATAAAACTTCCCATCTTGAAAAATAAAAGTAGTTTACATCAAAACCAAGAACACACGCAGATGCTGATTTGGTAATTAAACAAGGATGACAACAACTGGAGTTATAGATGAAAGCATTAGGCTAAATTTTAGAAGCCAAGATCTTGCTATAACTATCAATAGCATTGAGTTTCCAGATGCTCAATCTATCTTTGGATGGCAAAAACATTTCAGAAAGCTTGTTGTCATACATGAATTTTTTAAAGGGCATATAGCAGGGACTTTAGTCATTTTTCGATAACAGAGAACTACCCAAGGGCTATTGGCGCACGGTTCGAAACTTGGTAAGTAATGGACTCGCACCTCTATCCTTCTCCACTTAAATATACTTAAATACAGGTTCTTATCAAGAATCCAACATGTGATGTGTGCCTAACCCACATATCACGCCTTGCTCCCTTACAACTAGACCCCTATCAGGGACTTAATAAGAAAATGGACATTCTCTTTTGGAATGAAAATAAGAAAATGGACCTTGGACCTAACTCAACCCAATAGGGCGTTGTCAATGGCTCATTTAAGGCGCGCTTAATCCCTGAAGCTTAGAAAATATCAGGGAGGGCATTTCGCCTCGCTTAAGCTGTGCTTCAGTCTAGGCAAGGTACTAAGGTGTGCGCATTCATTGCCCATGAGTTCTATCTTGGACCGAGCGGTGCTAAACACCAAATATAATCGGCAAATAAGTGTAATAGATGTTAAGGAAAATGTTATGAATGAAATTTCTTACTTTTCTCTAAAATTTTATATATATATAGGGGTTAGTGTTGTCAAAGGCGAAAAACTCTGAAAAGCGCTTCAGGTCTATTGGGCTTTGAGCACAATTTAAGTATGCGCTTTAGTTAAAAAAAAAAAAAAGGGTGCAATAAATAAAGTGTGCATATATATATTATTTTTTTTATTTTTTTTCATTCTCAACAAAAAAAATACTCCCTTCGTTTCAATTTATGTGAACATATTTCTTTTTTAGTCCGTGCCAAAAAGAATGACCCCTTTCCTTATTTGGAAACAATTTACCTTTACACAAAGATTTATAGCCACACGTAATATATGTGCCTCATTTTAGACCACAACATCAAAAGTCTTCTCTCTTTTCTTAAACTCCATGCCCAGTCAAATGAGTTCACACAAATAGAAATGGAGGGAGTATATATATGTATGCACACTTTATTTATTGCACCTTTTTTTTTAACTAAAGCGCATACTTAAATTGTGCTCAAAGCCCAATAGACCTGAAGCGCTTTTCAAAGTTTTTCGCCTTTGACAACACTAATCCCAAAAGCTAGTTCATCAGTTGAAGATTGTCCAAGACAATATAAGGAGACCGAATACCCACCCCACAACCGATTGGGACAAACTCAATAGGACTTTAGTCATTTACTAGCCATAACTTAACACCATGAAATGAAAATAACGAAAAAATACTTTATTGACTCCCTTGTATATAATAATACCTTACAAGAGGGGAATCAATTCGCTTTTGCTTCTGTTCCTTCAGCTTTGCCCGGTATAATGCTCTCTTGTCCATTGCAATATTCTGTGTTAATACAGCACCAAAATCCAGTCAGAATAAAACCCAAAAAACAAATTAATTCAATAACAAAGCACCCGTTTTTTCTAACTTTCATCTGAGAAAAATATACTGTAAATAACTGGCCAGCAAGTTGCAAAGTTTTCACCAAAAAGACAAACAAAAAAAGAACTCCAATTCAGTAAACGAAACACCAAAAAAAAGAATATATATAAAAAAAAAAAAAAAAAAAAAAAAAAAAAAGCTTCAGCTAATTCTCATTTGGAAAATAACAATTGTCTAAATGGCCTGAAAAAATTCAGCAAACCCTTTCTACTTGTAAATACAGTAAGATTTAGTCCAGCTACTCAGAAACCAAAAAGGTAAAAAGAATTAAAATAAACACCTTTTGCTAATTTTCATCTAAGTAAAACAAAAAAGTGCATAAATGCAACAAATTTTCAGCAAAATCCCTGCTCAATTGGGAAACAAAACTAATTATTAAACCTTTTAGCCAACAAAAAGTATGTCCACTTCAACTTCATTGAGCTGAAATTCAGTGCTCAGATTAAAAAAAAATACTTACTTGCAAATACCAGAATCTACGTTAGGGTTAATAGATTATCGCGCTTTTATCTTGTGGGATTCAATTCTCTGCTTCGTAAATTCGAATTGGGTTTTCCTGTTTCTATTTTGGTTCGAGTGAAAGGAGGGGGTGGGGTTAAAATTTGGTTTTGGGGTTCGGTCCCCAACTTATGGAGTGACTTTACATTTAGACCCTCTTGAGTTTTAATTTACCAATTTGACTCTAAATAATAATCACAAGAGGAATTAAGGGAATTTTGTGTGCTTCATATATTTTATACTCCAGTATGAATTTTCAGCTTAGTAACTTTTTTATATTTATGTTATGTTAGTCTAACTTCACTTAATTTCTCATCCAAAAAGAATAAAAAAAACTTTTCAAGTAGTGTAGGAGCATTTTCGACCAAAATAAATGTAAGTATATATTTGTTGAAAATATTATAGCATTCATTTTTCTTTGAAAATTATTTAACTATTCTTCTTCACTTTTATTAATATTCAGCTGAATAATCAAATATACATTTGTACTTGTACTAACTTTAAATTATGTTTTAAATTTTTTATAATAAAATATTAGTATCATATAAACGACACAATGAACCAATAGAATAATATTTTTGAAAAAAGTAAAATTATTAAGTACAGTCAAACTAATTCCTCAAAAACGTATTTTTGTGAAACAACTTAAATAAACATATTTTGAAGAAATTTTTTATGAGGTATCAAAAAAATATTTATACAAACAAATCAACTGAGGGACGAAGAATTTTTGCTCAAAAAAAATATTTAACGTGAATTCATATTAGCAGCTTATTTGGATGGTTGTTACATATAGTTTTATAATATATCGTATCATACTGTATTGTATTGTACCGTATCGTTTGATGAATACAATGTTTGGATAGATTGTGTCGTTTTCCATCGTTTCATGATATCACGCACCAGCAATATGAAGAATAAATTTGCAATATTATAAAAATATTATGATACGGGGTAAGATTACTATATCAAAAATAGGGCAAATAATAAAATAAAATTATTTAATAACAATAAAAGGTGAGATTGAGAAAAAAAATAAGGTAACGACGTGACCACATCAAATCGGTTGTTATATAAAGTGACAAATTTCGTCGTTACGTAACGACAGATTTAATGATACGATACAATAAAATTTAAGTAATAATCAAAACAAGCATCGTATTTAAAGTAACAATACGATACAATATAACAGGTAACAACCATCCAAACAAGAGGTATATTTTTTTTTACTTTTGCTATTGTTGATGTCTGGTGCAGTTTATGATGTTGCAATTTCTTGGATGTTAAGGAGTTAATTGTTGATTTCTAGTTAAGATTTTCTCTTTGTTCTTGTTAGCGTTAGAGTTTGTTACTTAAAGGACCAATATTTCTCAGGAGAAACTTCAAGAGACCATTTTAAACATACCTAAAACTTAAGGGACACATTTTGTCATTTTCCCAAACCCTTTTTGTACTATTTTCCCTTATCGTCCATATATGAAATTTTCAAAATTCACTAGCAGTAAAACTCCTGCTCCTGGTCCCCGGCGACGATCTCCGATCACCGGAACATTTCAACTCTCCGATTAGTCAACATCTAAATTATAACCAGTGAATCGAAGGGAGAGAACCCACAAGTTCTGAACCGGACAAAAACCGTGTCCATATGGTCTAGGGTTTAGTGTTCTAGAAGCTTCACTATAACAACAACTTCACTTCCGTCATGGACGATACAAAGCTCTTAGTTTTTCTTCTCTGCTTCATTGCTCAGTTTTGCCTCTCTATCTCAGGTCACTCATTTTTTTTCTCTTTATTTTTCGCGGCAGCTTGAGTTAACAATGAGGTGTTAATGTTACTGTTTTGATAGATATGTTAATCAACTTTTGTTATTAATCAAATTAACAAATCACTAAGCTGATTTTTTTTTTATGTTAAATGAAGTGCAGATATAGATTTTAACTTAGCTTAGATTGCCTCTCTTTCTCAGGTCACTTTTTTTTTTCTTTTTTTGCAAGCTTAGTTTTTCGGTCAATAATCAAATTTTCAGTCAATGCCGAAATTAAGGTGTTATTTGACAACAATGAGGTGTTATATTTACTATTTGATGTAGATATTAATCAATTTTGTTATTAATGGAGTTATCAAATTGCTAAGAAAGAAAAGGAAATTGATTATATGTCAAATGAAGTGCAGATGTGGATTTTAACTATAGTGGAAAGGTAGCTTTTTATGAGCTTAGATGTTGAAAGATTGGATTCAAAGAGCATGGCTTTTGGACAATGATTTGCTTTTATGATGGTGGTGTCCAGGCCAGTCAAAAATAATTTCCTCATGCCTGGCCAAAGAGAATTAGAACTGCATGTGAGGAAGGCGTGTTGAATACATAATTAAGTAAATAAAAATATGCTCTCTCTAACAGCTTCAACTTGAGTTTAAATGGAGAAACATGGTCACTGAGAATTCATATATTCAACCCCAACTTGTTTGGGAATTGGAATCAGTGTTGTCAAAGGCTCATTCGAGGCGCGCTTAATCCCTAAAGCTCAAAAAAGCTCAGGGTATGCACTTCGCCTCACTTAGGTTGCACTTCAGTGTGGGCAAGGCACTAAGGTGTCCGCCTCATTGCCTATAAGTTATATATTGAATAAAGCGGTACAATACAATAAATATGATTGGCGAAAAGATATATTAATTCTTGAGGAAATCATTATGAATGAAATTGTCACTGCTTTCTTGCATTACATATATGTTTTTATTTTTTTTCTTCGTTGTGCCTTTTTTGACTAAAGCCCACACTTTAATTGCGCTTAAAGCCCCGATAGACTTAACCACTTTTTAACGCTTTTCGCCTTTGACAACATTGATTGGGATTGAGGCTTAGTTGTTGTTGTTGGTATCCGAGCAAATTTACCCACACCTCGACTATTTCATCGAGTACTTGTTAGTTTGTTACCGGCACAAGTACCAGATAACTCTGCCCACCAAGGCTTAGGCAGGTGGGAAGAAATAACCTAGTAATTGTTTTGTTTTCTTATTTCTCTCTTGACATAGAACATGAGATATTTCATGTACTTGAGATTTTCTGGAACTGCGTAGATCAGGTAATTGGAAGCCTATGTTAAACTGGAGCGTAACTAAGTTAACAATAAAGGAAGTTAATGCAGCTAGATTATGAAAAAGAGTTTTAAGAATCTTAGTGTTTTTATTTCCAGAGGAAAATCCATAACAATGCGGAAAAAATTATTATATTGGGAGTTTTAATCATTCTAAGGAGCACGGCTTTGGTTGGATATTTGAGTTTGCATTTGCTAATTAAGGAAGAAACAAGCAAGCTGCACTTTATGTCATTTTACCCTTCACTTCAGAAAGCATTTTCCTGTCCCGTGTTCTTCACTTTAAATGCATGTCTTCATTTCGTTCTTTAGCTTCTTAGTGATACTTTTGTATAATATATTTTTGCATTTTATTAATTTGAACAGCATCAGACCAAGTGAACTCTTTCCAGTCAGTTCCTGATCTTGAGAAGTCAATGTACATGGCCATTGACGGGTATCCGTGTGTACGGCTGCTAAACCTTTCAGGGGAGATCGGTTGTTCAAGTACGAAGTATGCGTTTAGTTGCATTTTTCTTGGTCTACAAGATGGCTGATCTGCTTTTAATTTACTTGTCTAACTCTTCTTATGCATGGCTAGACCCTGGGCGTGCCAACATAGTTGCTCCAGTTGCTAGGTTCAAGACAGCAAATAAGTTGGCTGAGCCATCTGCATTAGTGGTGTCTATAGATCAATTTGAGGAACTCTTTGGAAGGCATGTAGATCTCTCTCTTTGTAGTTTTTTTGGACCAAAGATTGTGTATCTTCTGCGTTCCTTTGAATGTAAAACGCTTTCTGTTTTAATATTTTATTTAAAAATTTTGAGTCATGTAATTGTTGGACAACTTTCCCTGTCGTACCGCTCCTTCCCACATTCGCCAAACAGTAGAGCCTCTTTGAGTGGTTAATGAGGTTGCGGTACTTCAAACTGTTCCACTCTTTAGTTCTTCTTAATGTGCACCTTATACTCTATTTTCTTTTGGTACAGATTTATCAATTGAGTGTCTAGATGTTAGCAAATGTTGACCTATCAAACAAAGAAAAAGAAAAGAATAATTCGAAAAATCTTCCAGTTCAGAAAAGAACACATCTATAGATGGAGCTTGAATCAGAAAAGATGTACTATCGTTTGGAGACTTAACTTAAATAGCTAACTGGTTGAAACCCCTGCTTGTGTTTAGCTCGGATGAGTCAGAAAGAATTTTGGAACTCCCACGCCATAAGATAAAGAAGCACTTTGCCATCTTTAGATATGCATCTTGTGTGATCCTACACTTGCTTCTTTTAATATTTATGCACATTGAAATTCTTTAATTTATATTATCTTTGTTCAGTGTCAAAAGCTGGAAACTAATGAGGATGGGCAAATAGGCTAGCATGGATTTTACATCATAAATTAAAACTTAAAGATAATCTATATTCTGAATCATTGTTTTTCGAGCTCAAAAAGGAAACTTGTGAATCGGACCTTGTAGGTAGCAGTGTTATTAAAAGTCATCACTTCGTCATTTAAATGATGAGGTGATGTGAAGCGATATCCCTTCAGGGGTGAAGCCATGCACTTCAAAGAAGTGTGATCTCTTATGTCAAGGTTCTGAAAATCAATGTTCATTGTGGTTTGGGTTATGGATCATTTACACTCATCATTCCAGGAGGCTTTAGATATAGGAAACTAGGAATAGAACCAATGCTGTTAAGCAAACTAATGTGCTAATGAAAATCTGGAAAATTATACCCCATAAGTTGATATAAGCCTCCCTACCCCTTAAAACATATATCTTGATGCTGAAGGCAAAACTACTTTATGATGACAGACCTTATCGTGGAGAAAGTCTATGCACCAAAAAAGAAAAATGACTTTACAAGATTTTTGCCGTCCCTTGCTAAAGGATTTTTGTAATTTGCTAAATGGAAGCGTGAAGTTCACTGAATAGTCATATCCAATTGGCAATTTATAACAAATAACATTCTTTTATTTGATATGTTGATTATGTTAGTGATTAGGG